CTCTCTTACCTTTTCTAAATAATCCTCAACAATTTATATCCAAACATGATATCATTAATATGAATTTATAAAATGAAAGAAGGTTCCATAAAATCATCAAAATAATTAATTCAAATTAACAAGTTTTCATTTATGTTAATAAATAAAGACTTCAGAGCTAACTTCTTGCCGCGTCCCATGGGACAGAAAGAGGGCATCGACAAGGCATAAGGGGCAGTTCCTTACTAGAGGTCAATAAATGAAAATAAATTTGTTTAGGATAATTGAATAAGAAAAAGAGAAAAAAGTGTTAACCTGAGTGAAATAATCTCACTTCATTGTGGTAAAAGTGCAGTTGTAAGTAAACAATCAGGAAGTTCTCTTAAATGTTGTTTAAGTGTTCTTGCAGGAACATGTGGATCATAATTAAGTTCATTTAATGTTGTTCCTCTATCAATTGTTTGTACGTTAAGTTCAGCAACAATTTTTTTTGTTTTCCATGTCATGGTGCAATACGAAAAAGACCTTCTTCATTTAAACTATTTTCTAATAGACGAATACATATTTCAATTGGATAAGCAACTAATGTACCTTTTCTTTTTGAACAATGTTTTATAAGATCATAACCAAATAATGGAATTAAATCATAATTTTCTAATCTTTGTTCAATGTCAGGCATCTTTCATGATAAATATCGAGACATATTATTACAAAATTGATTTTCTTCATGTAAATATTGATAAAAAACTTTAATTGTAATTGAATGTTCTTCACTAACTATTTTATATGTTTCAGTTGCATATATATCACGTGATAATGTTCGAGATTGTTCACATTCACAACGAATATCTTCTAATTCACGTAAACGTTCATCAAAATTTGCTAATGTTAAACGATCAGATCATGTTTGAAATCTTAACAAAACAATTAGAACATTTTTTATTTTAAAGAATAAAAACAGAAACTTTTTTTAAATTGGCATCAGCTGTTTCTAATTTTCGTTGAGCTTTTTCATAATTATCTCTTAGTTCAGTCATTGTTTGACGAACAGTTGACTTATATTAAAAATAAATCAATAAATAAGCAAATACTTGTTTATCTCTAGCTTGTTCAATAATTTTTTAAAATTGTTCAAGCCATCCTTTTCATTTTGAATCAATAAAGTCATGTATTTGAATTAAATCTTCAACTGTTTGATTTAAAATCGATAAAGTACCATTTGTTCTATATGGAGAACGATAACAACGTGCAACATCACTCAAATGAAATTCTTTCAATGATTTTGATACATCCTTATCAATACTTTTATTTAGCTTACAAAATCTTTATTTATTTTTCAAAGATCAGACAATACTTTACAAGAATCTTGAATATAACGAACTCGAT